TTTTGACTGACACTACCTAATTTGAGTGGGTTTTAAATTGACATTTAGCACTGAAGACTTCAGGATTCAAGCTACTGTCTTGCTCAGCAGACTTGAGCTGGTGCTTAAATTAAACAAGAGCTCACGAGAGGCGAGTATCAGCACTTCTTGGGAATTGAAAAAAAAAAAAAAGGTTCACACATTCACGTGGAAAAGAAAAGAAAAAGATGCTCTAACGGCAGGAATGAATGTGAATACTGAAAATAAAGGGCTTGATTCCCTCCTGCCTCATCAAGTCCTGTGCAAAGTGAATGGAGATAATATTGAAATCAATTCTCCACTCCCACCCCAGTGATGGCATTTTACCTTGCCTAGGTGTCAGTGACTACATATGGTGCAAGGACATGGAGTTTGGAAGACGGAACAAGGAGAGCCTAACTGGACCTGTCCTATTTTCTCCCTCCTCTCATTCTCTACTTTCCCTGCAGCATTACAGGAGTGTGCCTGCTTCCGGTGCTACTCTTCCTGGCTCAGAGCTGCTTTGCAACATTCTGGAAGTTCCTTAATGCAATTCTTCCATCTTCCAGATGGGATCCATTCTTGCGAGCCTGTGGGAGATTTAAAGCGATGGGAATCCTGAATTCAGAGGATGTGTCAATAAAGAAACCAATGTCGGGGAAGGACAAATTTTGGGGCCCTCTCTAACTTAATACATTAAGGGTCCAATCCAGTGCCCAATGAAAGGAATGGAAAGCCAGTGCAATCTGATGTAGTCCCTTTTAATTTTCGATATCAACAGAATAATTTAGATAGTAATAATCTCCCGAATGCATGTAGCATCTTTCATCTCTAATTATGCCAAGTCAGACATTGACTATACAAAGGCCATTCACTCAGCTCCAAAAGGCAACAATTACTGGGTTGAAATGGGGCAGCCTTTAATGGCAACTTTATGCAACAGTTAAGGGTAGGAAGTGAAGGAAAATGCCGTAATCCACTGGCACGTAGAAGGAATTTAGGGAGATGGCTTATTTTACTTTAAGATGGCATTTTGCCAGGATATACAAATTAATGTCTAAACTGCTGGATGTTTTATGACCACAAAACACTCCTCCAGAAGGCAGCAAGTTTAAAATGGTAAACAGGGACTTACATAAATATGTTTTCCCCAACTGCACTATAATGTCCCATATGGCATCCAATCCTTCTAGTAACAAAATCCCCATTGGCTTCAGTAGTGAAGATCAGACCCATGGGCAGCTGAACAGTATAAACACAGAATTCCTCATAATAGAGGTTGTTAGCAGGGGTAATGGGAGAGAATGTCACTATTTAGAAGTTAACATTTATTTTATAGAAATAATTTACCGTTTAGAAAATATGGATATCATGAGGGAAGCTTTACTGTCAGTGAAGGCAGAGGAATAACGAACTGCGCAGGTTCCCCTGGGGGGGAATTCCCCATCCAACATTGTTTCTTTACGATGACTACGGAGAAACATATGTGTAAAGTAGGTAAACTGCTTTCGAACTGCTCCCTGGCTTGGAATCTTTTGAGATGAAATCAGATTTGTTTTAAAGAGATGAAACAGTATGATGTTGGATACGGGGGAAAAAAAAAAGTAAATAAACAAGCACTGAATCAAATGCCTTTCACAACTTCAATGATCTAACGCAGTAGTTCCCAAACTTGTTCCGCCGCTTGTGTAGGGAAAGCCCCTGGCGGGCCGGGCTGTTTACCTGCCGCGTATGCAGGTTCGGCCGATCGCGGCTCCCAGTGGCTGCGGTTCGCTGCTCCAGGCCAATGGGGGTTGCAGGAAGCGGCACGGGCCGAGGGACGTACTGGCCGCCGCTTCCAGCAGCTCCCATTGGCCTGGAGCAGAGAACCACAGCCACTGGGAGCCGCGATCGGCCGAACCTGCGGACGCGGCAGGTAAACAAACCGGCCCAGCCCACTAGGGGTTTTCCCTGCACAAGCGGTGGAACAAGTTTGGGAACCACTGATCTAACGGGTTTTGGGGTTTTTTTAATCTCTTTGGCTCCTTTTGCTATTGTCATGATCTTTGAGCTAAATGAACTCTTGGTTGATGAAATGAAAAAATTTGTATCCTGTCATTAGTAGGAACAGATATCAAAAGACAGCAGAGCCTTGTCTATGTTAAGGCAAAACTGTCTTTTCTTTTAAGAATCCTTGTATAGAGTGGGGCTCGCTGATTTGATATTCCTTCAGTTACCACAAAGTTGTTCCTCCTTATTTTCCTAGGGCTGGTTACTACAGCAACAGTCTATTTGCGATTAGAAGCAACATATTGCATGCATCATAAACCCAAAGCACTGCTACTGTCTCTAGAAATTTGAAATACAACATAACAGGAGCCCATCCCGATGAGATATCCTTTTGTTAGCATATCACCCCTTGCTCTTTGCAAAGATGAAATCCAAAGAAGCCCCACCTCTGTCTCAGCAAGGTGCATATACATGGGTCCAGCTTTAACCACCCGAGTACGCCTGTATTTCAATGGGAACACACACATGTTTATGTACCTTGCCAAGTCAGAGCCTTGGGCACTCTCCCCAACACCATGTGTCAGATTTTCCAAAAGTGGAGTGGGAGCAATTGTGCATGCATGAATTTGCACTCTTAAACCTGTAACGGGACCCACGTGGAATCCCACTGAAGTCCATGATGATGAGCACAGGCACGAGGATCTGCCCGCATGGATCCAACTGCTGGATCAGGGCCCTAACTAGCACACACACTTTTCCAAATTGTACATGCAGCTGTGGTAAGGGTAGCTAATTAAACATAACTTCATATGGCATATGTGCATGTAATGACATATCTAAATTTTGTGGGACTATAATACACTAAGTTTGCAAAGTGTTTGCATTTTAGATCCAGTGGGACTATTCACAGAGAACGCACAGCTAAGCATATGCACAAGTCTTTGCAGGTTTTGGCCTAGACAGAATGGTCTAACTTCATCCTTTTCTCCATCAGTGGAGTTACACCAGGAATGGATGGCCCATCAACTGCAATATCTGTATTACTGTAGTAACAAATTTCCAGCCGTGAGGCCCACACAGTTGCAGTCCTAATTTTTTTTTTATCCTTCCCTTAATTCTATCAGGTTTCACAATACTTTTCAAATCCATGCTCCACTCTCCCCCACCCCCCCACGCCCCATATTATGGCGGAGTTTCCCCACCACAAGCGTTTCCCAAATATCAGTTTCTCTCTAGACAGGTGGCCAGAAAGTCTCACTCTTGTGCAATATGAATAAAAAGAAATAGACACAGTACACTAGGACAGTTCCATCCAGTTCACTGTATGAGCACTCTTGAAGGAATTCTTCTCCTTTCTGGTCAAGTCAGGAGTGAGCAGATATTAACTAATACCTAGGAGTCCCATAAATGCCTTGCCTAGCTCAATCATAGACCAGACACAATATGCAGATTACTGAAGTGAGCCATATGGCAAAAGTTACATAGTTTGGCCAAGAAATGATCATTTCTTTGCAGCTGTCTAATGTGCCAAGATGATTGTCTGGACTATCATTATTAATTAGTTTCTCTCCTAAGGCAGTAATCTGTGCTCACTTTACTCCTGATTTAAAATGATAGAACTTATCCCAGAAACCTGTTATCCTGGATGCATACAGCACATCCCCTACAGAGTGAACACTTTATTATAGGAGAAGAAGGTTGAGATAAAATACTGCACGTTGACAATACGCAGGGAATAACTGAGGGTGTATAACACAGTGGAGAATGAACCAGTCATGACACTTAACTAGCTTTGCGGAGAGCTGATATGCTTCTTTTTGCCAAGGTCACTGAAAATGCTATCGTTTGACATCACTGAAAAAGTCAACTAAATTCAAAGCTGAGCAAATAAGTCACAATCAGTATTTTATTTAACCTTTATTCCTGCTCATGACAAATACAAAGCAGAGCCGGATTTCTTCTTGTTTATTTTGTATTCATATTTATTCAGAGAATGATTTTCACTCTTTTACTCTATGAATTGATCACAGTCTGAAGAAAGCATTCAATAAACAGTATTTAACAAATCAAATTGTGATGCAGGGGTGGGATGGGTCAGAAATTACTCATGGATACTGCTGGTCCCCGACTGGATGAGTGCACACACACTTCTGGCACAAATAACCACATTTTGAACTGCTAGGAATGAGTTTTCATGGACATTCATGCCATTTTAACAAAAAAACGCTGTTTGCAAAAAGTGAAAAACCAAAACAGTTGGGAAGCAAGGTTATGAGGAAATTCAAATGATTGTTGAGTGGATTTTGTTTTGGCAGTATTTTCCCAGCATCAGTTAAACCATCAACTCTTTAAAGGTTATGTTAACGCAGCAAGTTTAATGCCTCGAACAAAATTCCTGATGGCCCCTCCTCCTTACCACCCTGCGCACATACTTCTCCCCAGTTCCAATCTCAGAGTGGTCATATCTATCTTGCCAATGTATCTACTCCACTGATTTAAGCAAATTGCTAATTTTTCAAGATTGTTTTTATGATCAATAACTCTGAAATTATAAGACTTAATTTAAACTCATGGTTTGTGGCATTGAGAGAGTTGCTCCAGAGAATTCGGCTTTGTATTTATCTTGAGGCCATTTGTTATCCTGTATTTTACACACAAAGTGATATATTTCCAGTCCTCTTTGTACAGTGGAACCCTCCCACAAAATTCAAGAAAATGCTCAGAGCATAAAATTCCAGTGTGCAGAGCTAAATGCTGAAATAATGATTTTATGACCATTTAAGGAATAAATGGGCTGTGCCGTGAACATGCTAGAACCTTCTTAAGTAGATGCAAGGGGCGTTAATCTAGGAGAGGACTACAACAGCTATGCTCTTTAGACAACCTATCCAATAGGTGTCCCCGCTGTTTCACTAAGTTTGGTATCATGGGACATATTCAGAAAGGCAACAGAAGCTGAGCAGGGTTACACGGGTGGCCATTCCAGCCAGGTGTATTTTATTCTATTTGGTAACTCAACCAGAGTGGTCATAGCAAGGTGGTTTGTTGATGGGATTGCCTTTTGGCTTCCAGTCACAGTAGGTCGGGGGTGAAGTTTCTGTAGCCATTAAATACCATGCTGAGGGACACAAGAGAAACACAGGCAGGCAGGCAAATTAGATAAGCACATGCCTCAGTGCTTTGCTGAATTGGGGCCAGCAGAACTGGTGGCTAGCTACTACCGAGTCCTATGGAAATGGAGCAGATACTGTATAGACAACAGATGGACACAGAGTCTAGAAGCTTTCAGAGGACAACTTCACTCACAAAGTTTTCTGAAGCACGGTCAGTGCGGGGTTCCTCACAGAAACCCATGAGCTCTTTACCCTAAGGCTAGGATATTTCAGTTGATAACCAAAACCTAGTGTTACTCCTTAACCCCATCATGTAACACCATGCAACTAACCCCAAGCTGCCTGAGATGGACTGAGTAATTTTGCAGCATGATCACAACCATTGGGAGTTAGATGCCTAACTCCCCATATATCACAATAGACTTACCAGCTTTGCCATCCTGCTCCCCTATAGGTAACATTTTCTGGGGTCCTTCCACAAGATGCTGAGTAGGAACACCTGCTCTACAAAGAGAACTTTCTTTGTGTGTGGGGGTGTGTGTGTGCTCAGAATAGCTTTTCAAAGGAATTATTAGAAAACTTGCAAGGAGAAATGCCCCTCAGATCCAGTGCCTTCATACAGTAATCATTGGACATGTCAACTAACACACTATGGAGGCAGCTAAAGTACACTGGATATGTGGTTAATTACTGTCTTATAAGCTACTTTGATGTTCTGTAGCTAAAGCTCAACCACAAGTGACCAATATCATTAGAGTTTAAAGGACATGGGAAATTGCTGTGAAAAGAGAACAACTTTCCTAATCATCCACTGCCTCATTATGGCTGCCAACCCAAAGGATGACAACACATCACCAGCTTTCTCTACTAAGAGCAAAGACCCCTGCATTTCTCTGCCATGGTATTTTAAGTGGAAGAGGGGCAGGGAGGGCACAATGGGGATCAGTGGCCGAGAGATATTTCTTGTAGTAGTTAGTTCTTGGTAGATCAAAGCCAAGGTACCTTCACAGACATAGAAGCACAGAGAAGAACCCCAAATTCACCCTTTCTATTGATGCCGGATAAACCAGACAACAGAATGAGCTGCAATAGCAGGAACACCTCAACTGCATTCAACAAACTTCAAAGTCTTACCTATATACAGGGAGGAATCTTTCCGTCTCACGTGGTCATCGATGTAGGAAACTCCTAGTGGCTGTACAGGGGTAGCACCAATGCCTAGGAGCACTTGTGCTCCAATGAGAAGCAAGTACATCATGTTGGTGGTAGTCCTATTCCTGCAGATAAGATCCGGGTCTGGTCCCTCGTTGCTGGTGGACCCGTTGGCAGCACACACATCCCTCCCTTCAGCCCCCCAGCGTATTTCCCCAGATTCATATTCGTACTGATGGGTCAGAAATTCAGGCAACGCCGAAAGGAGGGCGCCCAGAGCCATGACTATTCCTCCGCATCCTATCAAACGTGGCCTATGCCCCCGGGCTCCAAAGTAGCTCACAAAGAGAATGAGGGCCAGGTTCCCAATCTCAAAGCTGCTGGCTATCACCCCCACGTCAGCGCTCTGCAGGTTGAATCGCCGCTCCAAGGTAGTTAAAACACTCACCTACAAAGAGAGAGAAATCCAGAGACAATTACTTAAAGAGCACATAACCTACATAACATAAGAACGGCCATACTGGATCAGACCCAAGGTCCATCTAGCCCAGTATTCTGTCTTCTGACAGTGGCCAATGCCAGGTGCCCCAGAGGGAATGAACAGAACAGGTAATTATCAAGTGATCCATCCCCGTCCACCCTTTCCAGCTTCTGGCAAACAGAGGCTAGGGACACCGTCCCTGCCCACCTTAGCTAATAGCCTGTATTCGGTTTACTCCATTTGCCGATCTTACCATGATGACTCACAGCTGTTAGTAGGTTTGGGCCTGATCCAGAGCCCTGGGAAGTCAATAGGAGTCTTTCCACTGATTTCAGTAGACTTTGAATCAGGCCATTACACTGCAAGTCGTCCCTTGGAATGACTGACTGCTTGTGAAGCAAGGGGCTATGGGACATGACCAAGCGTGCTAATATCAGATGCTGTATTAGCAGCACTAGGCAAGGCAACCATAAAGCCTTCTAGACCTTGGTGTAAGACCACGGGCAACATTTTCAGAAATGCTTGCATGACTTCGGCACCTAAGTCACATTCACAAAGAGGCTTGGAGTCCTAAAAGCCAAAGGCTCCAGCTGCCATAGGCACTTTACAAACGTTGACCCCCAAAGCTTGAATCTCATTGGCGGCATGGGTATCACTCCAGCACATCCTTAGCACTGAGCAGCACAAGTGGTGAACCCCTCAAACTCACCCATGTTCCTCAGTACTAGTTTGAGTTCCCATCAGAAGTAGATGTGTTTTGGAGGAGCTGGTGTGTGCGGAGCGCTCCTTGCTACTGTGCACTAAATTGCCTGTTGTCATTGGCCTAACTTTTCACCCCTTCCCTTTTGAGACTGTGGTTTTAACACTGAAACCCAACTCTCCCATGGAGCAGTTGAAGAACGCACACATCAGACAAGCTAGGCACCCGATCCCTGTCTGTCTGAACTCATGGCCTTGCTGACACACTGACACTTGGCTCACACGTCGGCAGCGTGTCACATAACTGACTCAAGAAGCAGCCACAAAGGTAAGGAGTTGAGCCCTGACAGAAAGTTTCTTTTCAAAATAAATAAAAATTAAGTTGAACAAACGTTTTAAACGAATCTTTTACGATTAATTAATGGCTGGGAGCTTCACTTACTGACAAGACAATTTCAAAAGAGATAGGCCAATTAAGATTTACATAATGCAAAGAAATATACTTGTGGGTTTTATGCAACATCAGTTTAGAGCCAAGAAGATGCAGCACTGGGTACACAGCTGCTCTCTGCCACGCTCATGGAAGAAATCCAACATTCTTTTATTTTCATGGTCATGTCTCCTTAAAAAAAGGCAACCCAATTCCATCTTGGAAACAGGTCTGTTGTTTTTTTCCAGAGATGGAGATTATATTTTTAAGGTCATCCTAAGACATGCAGTTAGGATTCAAATAAAAAAAAAAAAAAGTGATAGCGATCTCATAATATAAGACAGCCCCTGGACAGTATAAAAATAGTCTCCCACTGGAGGCGATCAGAATCTTTGCTGATATACCTCAAAAAGCAGGAAATGTTCTGTCCAACTTTAAAGTATTCTGACAGCAGCTCTCCTCTCAGGGCAGCTAGACCCTATTAGGATACACCAGGATGCTGTTATGCCAAAGAAATGCCTCTTGGCAATAAAATGGACGAACAGAATAGCCTACTTCTGTTACTTTACTTGTGTGAAAGATAAGGACCTCGGTTTCCTGAGCATCCAAAGACTCCAGTATGAAAAACAATGTTCATCATTTTTGCAGATGCAACTGTCCTCCCCCGAATCCAAACCACTATTTTTTTTGTGCTTGTGACTTGGCACCCCCTTTCTAATATACCAAGAGCTGCATTTAGGCATCAGTATAACAGGCAGCTAGAAGTAGCAGCCAGTACGTCCCTTGGCCCACGCCGCTTCCAGCAGCTCCCATTGGCCTGGAGCAGCGAACCGCGGCCGGTGGGAGCTGCGATCGGCCGGACCTGCGGACGGGGCAGGTAAACAAACCGGCCCGGCCCGACAGGGGCTTTCCCTACACAAGCAGCGTCCCAAGTTTGGGAAACACTGGGATAGAGAATTTACCCTTCCTCTGGGATCAGCAATTTCATCTGTCCAGAGATGTTCTTTGCAGTTAACACAGGAAAAGCTTCCCTAGAGCTTCTCTTCTGGGGATCCCCACTTCCCCTATGGGGCAGATCAGAATAGGAGTGACAATTCTTAATGTGTGTAAACTGAGTCACAGGGAGCCAAATTAATCAACGAGGCAAGTATGAGGACGAAGTTACTTGAGTTACACGGCTAAAGTCAAAGGGAGAGTTTGCAAAGGTCAGAAGGCAGCTAGGGTCCCCAACTATCCCTTGTGCCTTTGGCAGTCTCTCCCAACAGGATCCAACCTGGCTGTCTAAATTTAGCCCCTTACCACCCACACATATTTAAGCACTTTAAAAGGTGGCCTGATTTTCAAAGATGCAGAGTCACGTCCTCCTGAAGTCAAGATGCCCAGCGGGGAGCTCAGCACTGCACAAAGTCTGGCCTGATTTTAAACAGTTTGATGTGAAAATTCCAGCTGAGGTAACTTGCAGAGCAGGCCAATGGCAGGCCCAGAAACAGAACCCAGGAGTAGGGTGACCAGACCTCCCGATGTTATTGAGACCATCCTGAGATTAGGGGCTTTGTCTAATATACGCAACTCTATCCTCCCACTCCCGAAAAAGTGTTCCCCACTTTTTCACACTTGCTATCTGGTCACCCTACCCAGGAGTCCTGATTCTTATTCTGCTTCTTCAGCCACTAAATGTGGGGCGTGGCTTGGTTTCATCTTTTCCTTTCCTGAAAGCTAACATCCCATGTGGATGTGGCCCCAAGTCTCAGCAATTCTCACGTTCCACCTAATAATCATGTCCATTCAAACACACGTCTGGATCCTCCCCGCCCCCATCACAAGCCCAAGTTACAAGTGAACAAGGAGAGCGGGCTCTTACTTTGTGACACAAGGATGCGGAACATGGGAGACTGGATGGGTGTAGCCAAGGGTTATAGCCAAAGGGAATGTCTGCAGGGAAAGTGCTAATCCCTATCCTCTGTGAGAAGCAGATGGGAGTTCTCTCTTCCCTTGCTTGGCTCAGCCACATTTCCCATACAGCTCCCCCTTCTCCATGGCTGGGGCACCGGGCCCCTCCCTGTCCCATACTGGGTGCAGTGGTACTGCCCAAGTGGCTACTAACGCTCTCACAGTTGATATAAACGCTGCCCTTAGCTAACTGGCCTTGGAAGCAAAGGGACGGGGAAATTGGCTGCACTTCTCTGGTAAGGGCCAACCCCATCATACCAGCTGCAAGCATCCAGGGGAAACTGGCATCTGCAAGCAAAGTAGCTGACATCAGTGCCAGCACAGTGGCCTCCGCCATTTCCCGAGTCATGGAAGAGCAGTAGTGAAAGAAAGGGATGTTGTTGGGGGAGGTGGGGGGACTGTCGACATGCTGATTTTTCACCAGATGATGCAGAAACGTGACTATGTGATATCCAGGATGGCAGCAGCAGAAACAGCTGCAGCCCAAGTTCTTGCTTTGACATTGGCTATGACCTATAAATATTCAGGCCCTCTGCAATATTGCTGTGAGCCTAGCGGCGACATTATCTGAGATTACAAACTCAGAGTCTGCTCAGGACAGCCTCTTGCACCCTGGAAACATTTTTCCATCTCTGTCCATCCCATTTCTTTTTATACAGCTTCTTAAGTACAACAATCTCAAAACGCATTAGGTTTCCTTTGTGACTCAAATAAACAGCTTGGGTTGTGTCTGAGACCACGTCATTGCCAGATATAACAAGAGAACTGTTTGTTACTGTTCATATTACCTATGGATGAGCCTACCCCCCCCCCCACTGTATTAGGAATCAACTCTTACTCACCATCCTCATTGGCTTAGAGTTACAGAAATGTCTGTCTCAATCTCTAGGCATGTTAAGAGCAACACAACACATACAGTCATATCAGTTACTAAACACACAGTCTAATCCTTACTAGCGCTGGCTGGAAAATAAACTTCAAAACCTCAACTTTTCATGAAATAGAATTCTTATTAGCATTCAAAAAATTTTATGAAAACACATGAGAAAAAGAGAAAGACCTGAGTCCGAGAAGGGACTCAAGCCTGGTCTCTCAATAACTACCAGTCAGGTGGCTATTTTGGGGGTGGGTGGGTGCACCTCCAAAAATTCCATCCTGAACCCGTGAAACTTTTCTGTAACAAGCTGCAATGAATTTTGGATTTTCCATCCAAAAAAAGTTGGAAAAAAGTTTCAGCTAGTTCTAATCTCTATGCATCATGCACACCACATATATGTATGCACATGGATGTGGGTGATATAAGCATGCTTCAAAAGTCTGGATAGCTCCACCCCTGCCTACATCTCTGCTTCTGCTACCTCATGTCCTACACACTTCCCAATCTTTAATTAGAAAAGGTTCAGAGAAGGGCAACTAAAATGATTAGGGGGTTGGAACGGGTCCCATATGAGGAGAGTTTAAAGAGGCTAGGACTTTTCAGCTTGGAAAAGAGGAGACTAAAGTGGGATATGATAGACTAGTGTTTCCCAAATTTGGGATGCCGCTTGTGTAGGGAAAGCCCCTGGGGGGCCGGGCTGGTTTGTTTACCTGCCCCGTCCGCAGGTCCGGCCAATCGCAGCTCCCACTGGCCACGGTTCCCTGCTCCAGGCCAATGGGAGCTGCTGGAAGCGGAGCGGGCCGAGGTACATGGGAGCCGCGATCGGCCAGACCTGCGGATGTGGCAGGTAAACAAACCGGCCCGGCCCGCCAGGGACTTTCCCTACACAAGCGGCGTCCCAAGTTTGGGAAATACTGACCTGACCCATTCCATTCACCTTCCATCAGTCATCTCCATTCTACTTCCACCTGCTCATACTTGTGCCCAACCTTTAATATTGTCCTGTATCTC